TCAGTGAGACATCCTCCGGTATGGAATCAGCTCTGGCGGGTCAACGACGGCTTGGTTTGCGTCTGATGAAATCTTGCAGGTAAAACAAATAATAGTTGTTTTGGTTCTGAAAACGGCGTTTCTATGCCGATAAAAATATTCCATTTACGACGAGTTTTGATCTTCCAAGAGGCGTTAATTTTAGGAAGTGAGGCAGGAACTGAATTATAGAGGAACTCCCTTCTTAGGGACCGTGTTTGGACCAATCAGAGGCCAGAAAATGTAGGAGGCGTTAACAAAGACCTCAGACGTCACATCCTATCCTAAGAAACCATCTAAAGGAATATTTCCTATTATGTGAAGTAAATATGAGTCTTTTGTTAATGTACTGATGTTAATGTGTGACATAACTGACAAAAACATCATTTTAAATCATCAAGTAGACTCATTTGGTGTATTTAAAGGGGCATTATGGAAGTTTGACAGCCAAACCATGTATAGAAATAATAAATGTCTTCTTCATACGTTCTCCTGCAATGCCCTGGTCCTGTAGAATGAGCCCTGGCATTTTTACTGTGATTGCCTGTTTTTCTGTAAAATCACAGAAAAAGAGAGATGCTCGGGTCGAGCAGGCTGCTTCATGCGCGTTCACGCTCAGGCATCGCCCGTAGCGTTTGCTATCCGTAGCTTTAGCAGCAGAGAGAGAGGCAGTGCCACTTTGTCGCTGTTCCTAACGCCTAGTGACAAAGCTAGCTACATTTCTGAGGACCCTTAGCTACTTTCTGTAGAACTTTCTTCTAGATATTTCCTGCTAATTAGCAACAAAACAGCCATTTTCACTCCGAACCGTTCTTTGGTTTGACGTTTCAGCTGTCATCAAGGATATAAATGTTACAGATACAAGAGGACATCACTGATGCTTTAGCTCACCTAGTAAGACGTTGGACTCTCACGCAGAAGACAGGTTTGATTCTGGATGTGAACATAGTTTATTTAGAGTTTCCTTTTTACATTAATGGTATATTTTTTTACAGTAAAATGCCCAAATTTGTATTTGAGACTTGCCGAACGGCATTGAATTCACAGATAAAAAGATGTGGGTTCAACTTTCATTTTGGAACAATTTTTCAAGCAAGGGAAGGGAATGATCTGAGCATGCAGGAGGACTGACCCATCATAAACCTTTGTCGGCTGTGCTGAAGAGAAAGCTACAGAACCACATTATTTAATTAATTAGCTGCGTGTTCTCCTGTCCTCTGTCCTCCGGGCCACACACACACACATACACACACACACACACACACACACACGGGACTGTCTCAGCTTTTATTTTCGTTAAGGAGTGTGCACGTACAGCATGCGCGCCTCGTGCACGAGCGTAATATTGAAGCTGCCGTTACGCTTTTGGCCTGAGGGGGCGATCACGAGCATAAAAATCCAAAAGTCTGAAAAGTCCCTTTAAAGAGCAAGTCACCCCCAAATTACTTTTTTTCCTGATAAACTACATAAATGCGTGTCTAATCGTGCTGCAGACACGTGTCGTCAAGTTTTGCACTTTAGTGCATTTTAGTTCAAATTTTGATTTTCTGCCTAAAACTGTCAGTGTTGTGCCGTCGTCAGGTAAAAACTCTGCACTGCATTTGACTTTAAATCTGCCATCGCTATTGGCTAAGAGGTACCCTAGAATGTTAGCTGGTACCATATGATGTCACAATGTCGTTGTGAGCCTGGGTGTGTGTGTTTGTTAGCGGCTCCGCCCCCTCGGTCTGCTAGGCAACAGCATTTGTTGCATTTTTCAAACTGGAAGTGTGAGTGGAGCAATACTCTGGTAGGGGGTGACTTGCTCTTTAAGGTTTAAAAAGTTCTGTCTTCTGAAGGAGACTAGTGCCCTGCACACACATCAACAGGAGCAGAAAAGCAGCCTTGTTAGGACAGATTCTCAGATGGCGAGGTCAGAAACAGAAGATACACACGGTCAAAGGTCAGACGGCAGGACCGTGTACGGTCTGATGACCTCTGACCTTTCCTACGCTTCAGTGTGATCATTTAAAATCTGTCTGGCTGACATCCCGTCATCTGGTCCAGAAAAACAAAGCTATCATGTTGAGCTAAATTCATGATGCATCCTCTAGTCAGAATTCCACTCCCACTATTTGTCCCTTACAGCTCTCCGTAGATTTTCCTGACTACGTGGGGGAGGAGTTTGGCATAAACAAAGCTCTGGACGCCAGCCACGGTGAAAAGGCTCGCTAAAACACACACGACTGTCCCAAATAATAAAAGCCCCAGAGCCATTTACCCCGAGGATCCCGATCAAGCAGACGCGCGAGACTACAGACGGAGAAAGCTAGTGGCAAATGCTAGCAGCTAGCCACTATAATAGAGTACGGTGTGCTTCTTGATTCATCACCATTTACGCTCGCATCTTAATAAATGGGTTATTAGATGATTTTCCTCAGCTCTACCGAGACCCCAGCTAGCCAAACAACACTCTGCCTTAAAGCTCTGATTGGTTCATCGGTGCCGTGCCGACAGAAGCAGGCTAGCAAATAGCGTGACTCAGCTGAGAAAAATGCCCGTAGACGCATCCAGAAACAGTGGCACAGGTGATAGAAGGCAAGCAGACGGTTCTACGATCTCCCAGCTTTGTTAGGTCGTCCTCACTTAAACCTCAACAATCTCATGTCGTCAGATCACACGGCCCTACCGAGACTCTTTCCTCTGTTAGGGTGAAATCCTGTCAACAAAAGGCACAAACAGGAAGTGACAACACGAGGCAGGATCTGTTCGACTCAGAGTCATGCTGCCTGGTGTGGGCTAATTACTTTGTTTTGGTTGTGTTTGGGCGAGAAGCGTTGGTTAAAGAGGTAAAACGCTCCTGCCCGTGCAGCTCTAAAAGCACTCAGCGCCACCGCGGGCACGTGACTGCATTACCACTAATGGAATGCATCATCGGCTGTTAGGAGCTGCAAAAGGCATCCGAGAGGCAAGAGAATAAAAACACACCGAGGGAAGAAAGGTCAGACGTTGAGAATGCTGCACACACCACAAACCTGCTTCCACAGAGCAGGAGCTGAGGCGCAGACAGGAAACGTGATGTTTACAGAAGCAGCAGCTGGTCTGGACGCACGTGAAGCTTCCGCTTTGAAAATAAATAATTAAACGTTTGTCTTTCATTTTGTTCTGTTTGAAGACAAAGTTCAAATCTGATACATCCTCATCAACAACAACAACAACAATAATAAACAAATAATAATACTATTCTGATTAAATAAGATTAATAATAATAATCCAATTATATGAATAGATTATTATTGTTGTTGTTGTTATTAACAATAACAACAACAACAATAATAATAAAAAGAATAGATTTTTATTGTTCTTGAGATTATTATTATTAACAACAATAATAATGATAATAATAATAATAAAAATACTATTCTGTAATGATTAATTATTAATAATAAGAATAGATTATTATTGTTATTGAGATTATTATTATTATCATTATTAACAATAATAACAATAATAATGATACTATTTTATAATGACTGAAGAACAACAACAATAACAATAATAGATTGTTGTTAATAACAGTAATAATAATAATAATAACGATAGTAATAATAATCAGTTGTATTATTGGATTATTATTATTATTTTATTGTTAATATTAATAATAATCATATTATTATTATTATTAATATCACTTTTGAACAAACTAACTGACGTTTTAACGTTTCACTTTTAGCTGATTTCACTTCGGGGTTTCACGCCATCAGAATGTTTGTTTTCTGTCAAATCCAAAAGTAAACAAACACTCGGGCTCTGATGTCACTAACGAACCTTTTCACCTGGTAAAATAAAGCCAACTGTGGATCGTTACTTTATTCCCTTTTATTTTGGAATTAACGACTCTTATTCTGACGAGTGACCTTTGACTCTAATCTGTGAAATAGTCGGTCTTTTCTACCGATATCTGATATTGTGTCACTCTTAAATTGTGATATCAATCGTTTTGTGTGCAGCCTGCATGAACAACTCAGAGTGATTGATTATGATCAGAAATAATAACAGAAACACGTCTCAGTGAACCACACCTTTAAATACTGGTGACTAGTGACAGACTGATGACATCAGACATCCCTAAACAAGTGTTATTGACCAACTCCAACGTTTCCAGGGACTCGAAGATGCCAGCACCCCGAGTCGCTCCAGACTGACAGCATCACCTGTCTGCTGCCCCTGCGGCTCCATCATTACAACGCTGGCAGAAACAATTCCTACCGAGACGACTGCCCAGAACGACATCCGTGTTTTTATCTCCATCCAGTCACAGAAACACATTCTTTCCTTTCAGAGTCACTACCGCTCCGCTCGCTGGCCCTCACCACGTGTGAGGGGGCGGCAGACTGTTGTCAGGATCTTCTGCCAGCTTTCAAACGTTGCATAAGAGACGTAAAAATAAACTCTCTGGAGGACAGATGGTGTCGTAGGACACCTGAGGGGACAGTGGGACACTTCCCAGGACGGACTCTGAAGCTGAGCCCATCCAGCAGGCAGGAATCAAACCCACTAACCTAAACTGGGTTCCAGGATCAAACCGGCCCTAACTGTGGACTTTAGACGGGCTCAACCTGGACACCAGTAAAGAGTCTCAACAGCGTCCGGCTGAGGGCCTCAGATGAGACAGGATCCACCGTTCAGCCGGAGGATGGAAACACGCCAGAGCTGAGAGAACGCATTATTATGTGGATCTAATCCCAGAAATCCGGAGTTAACAGATAAATGTGTTTTCAGGAGCTGGACTCCAGCTGCTCTGTGGACAGAGACGGGATCTGGTCACATTCAGCAGTAACAGGAGCGCTCAAGTCCATCTCCAGGGCTAGCGTTAGCCTCACCGGAGCTGTCCGACACGTAAACATACCAGCGTTTAAAACTGGAGATAATGCACCGGGAAAGAAACAGGCATTACAGGGGTGTGTGTGTGTGTGTGTGTGTGTGTGTGTGTGTGGTCCTACCTCAGCCTGTGTGACGGGAGCAGAACTGATGCCGGTGTTCACGGCATTCCAGGATCGAGCCGTTAACACACAAGCAAACAGCGGGAAGAGATCTCCTGCTCCAAGTCTGCGGCTGTAACGTTCCACTCCAGACATGTCTCCGTGGATCAGAGACATCCAGAGATGACAGTAATCCATCCTGAAGTCAGGCTGCAGGACCTGAAAGAAACCGTCACACTTTTATTTTGGTTTGCTTTTTCACAACATTTCAAACTTTACGCCACACTTGGGCCGCTGGAGAAGAAGATCCGATTAAGGTTCAAATGTCCCTAAAGCAGCCAGACGTAGCAGGTTCTGCAGAACCGGACCGGCTACCAGAACCGGACCGGCTACGGCCGAGGTTCTGCAGAACCAGACTGGCTACAACCGAGGCCCTGCAGAACCGGACCGGCTACGGCCGAGGCCCTGCAGAACCGGACCGGCTACGGCCGAGGCCCTGCAGAACCGGACCGGCTACAGCCGAGGCCCTGCAGAACCGGACCGGCTACAGCCGAGGCTCTGCAGAACCGGACCGGCTACCAGAACCGGACTGGCTACAGCCGAGGCTCTGCAGAACCGGACTGGCTACAGCCGAGGCTCTGCAGAACCGGACCGGCTACGGCCGAGGTTCTGCGTATTCTTACTGAGTAAAGGAACATGAGACTGTTTATTGAACAGAGGTTCAGCCCTGGCAGAATGTCCTTCAATCCTTCACAATAAAAGTCCTAATCCTACACGAGTGCCTTTAAACACTTCTAGCTCCACCCATGGTAGCTGGGGGGGGTGGGGGGTGGGGGGGGGGTTACCCAGTAGCCAGTATGGTTGCCGGTTCGAGTCCGGGCCATGCTCTTTAATAAAAAGTTTAGTAAATAACTTTATTCTGAACAGATTTTAGGTTTCCTCTAAACATGACTAGACACAGTTAGAGCTACACACACACACACACACACACGGACTGTCACACGGCGCTCCTACATGACTTTGTTTTCTGCTTGTTGTTGTATTCATGAGATTTTAGTTATAAATATGAAACGTCATTCAACACACACACAGTCACACACACGCACGCACACACACACACACACAATCTTTTAAATGCCATTACTAGTATGCTACAGCACAGAGAGAGAGAGAGAGAGAGAGAGAGAGAGTGTGTGTGTGTGTCTGATGAATGGATTAATATTCACCTCTTAAATAACATCTGAAATCACAAGTCATTAGGAATAAATTGGACCCATTATGGTCTAAGGAAAGTGTGCGTGGGTTTGAGTGCTTGTGCAAGAGTTAGTGTGTGTGTGTGTGTGTGTGTGTGTGTGTGTGTGTGTGTGTGTGTGTGTGTGTGTGTGTGTATGATTAGGCTGTTGTGCATTCAAACTCTGCACTCTAGGAACAACATCAAATGAGTTGTTTATGAAAAAGCTTTTATCCCGCTGTACTCTAATAAACGTGTGTGTGTGTGTGTGTGTGTGTGTGTGTGTGTGTGTGTGTGTGTGTTCGGCTCTACCACTTCACCCTGACCCTGAGCCGGCAGCATGAAAAATGGATGGTAACATCAGACAACAGCACCTGATACAGGCCGTGGTCCAGGAGGACGATCTCCGTCTGCTGCTTCTGCCGTCGCACCAGCACGTTCCCAGGGTGCGGATCACAGTGGACGAAGCCGTGGACGAAGATCATCTCACTGTACAGCTGACCCAGATTCTCAGAGATCTGCCGGGACACGAAGCCACGTCAGGAGTCGTACCCTCACCCAACACTCGTGCTGATCACATGGTGCGGCCGGCTCCGGGGAAACCCATTTAGAGCTCCATAAATCTCCTCAGACAGAAACGCTGACATCCTCCCAGTGTTTCATTATCACCTCCGTCACACACCACAACACCTCATTTCTCCGTTCCATCTCCGGGTTTTATGCACAGAAACTAAAAATCATGAAGGATTAGCAGAATGATGTTTATTCACTAATGTGTACGCCTCTAGAAAGCATGTGAAACGTTGTCTCAGGAGCCCCGAGGAAAGGACAAATACAACCCTGCTAAGCCACGCCCCCTCAGCCAGGACATGAATATTAAATGAGCGGCATGCTGATGTGTGTTTGTGTTGCTGTGTGGACCCCAGGGCGGATCAGACCCGGACCAGAACCAGACTCTTGGTCCACGTTAACCGTGTTGATGAGAATGATTCTGATAAAGGGGAGACTGAACGCTGGCAGGATGGAGGACCTGATGCAAAGGTGTCATGTGACCTCTTCAGAGTGACTCCACCTGAGTTATTTAGTCTGACAGCCCGGCGGCACCTTCACCCAGGTACACCGGCTCAGGTTACCCAGAGAGCGTTTCAGATGGAGCAGCACCTTGTTCACGTTGATGTTGTGTTTCTTCATGTAGTCTCTGTCGTCGACCTGCCCCCCCTCCACAAACTCCATGGTCAGGATCCTCTTCGTGGACAGATCCCAGTGGATCGTGGGAACCTCAGAGAAAGAACGAGACGTGTGACTGGGATGGTTTCTCAGTGAATCAGAAGAGTAGGCGCTGAGGAGAAACATGCCGTGTAGAACTGGACTTCAAAGACATTTACACTAATTATTAGTAATTCTTCATCAAAAGACACGTTCTGGACCTAAAATCTGCAGAATACAACAGGAAACAGAAACGTGAGCCCGTTGTGTCTACAACAGGAACAAAGACAGTTGGTCTGACTCACCTTCAGCTAATAAAAGCTCTCAAACGAACACGTTAAGGAAAAGCACTCCAGGAAATGAAACGATAATGGACGTGAACAATGGAAATATGATTCTGCAGTCGCTGCTTTGTCGAGGCGCCGACGAGCCGACGAGACACAAAGGAGGAGCTCTAACAGACACACACTCTGACCTCAATTAACTGAACCAGGAACCGTTTTAATACTGGGCCTGGAGCTTCCGATGGGCTGGTCACAACACACCAGCAGCGTTAAATCCGCTCCGACGCTCCCAAACCAAGAGTCACATTCATGTGTTCATACCTTGAGAAAGGGGAAGTGGGACAACAGAGACGCCACGCGTTCAGCGTTGTGTCCCTCGTTCAGGAAGTCCAGTTCCAGCGGCATGTTCTTCTTGGCTTCTTCCACCAACCACATAAAGGCAAAGTCTGGGAAGAGCCAATGAACGGCCTTCACCAACACCTGTCGAAGCAAACACACACATGTTCTAAAACACACATCACAAATTGTGTTGGTTCAGAGACCCGGGGCCTCATTCATCAAGCTCGCTTACGCTCTAAACGGGTCGGAAAACTGCGTAAGCAACTTTCCACGCAAACTTTGGGATTTATAAAGAAAACTTAGTGGAAAAATGTGCGTAACTTTAAGTTGACTAAGGAGCTGGCTTACACACATGCTGGACATGGAGAGCACCTGCAGTGCTGCTGCTGAGGAGGTACAGTTATGAAATCCTGCAGCGTTATCACTTGTAGGTAAGGCACTTTGCATTGACCATTTATGGCAGAAAGTGGGCGTGTTGAAGGCGGATGTGACTCAGAGACAGCTGAGAACCTCTCTGGTTTATGAAGCGGAGATCGCGTGCAGCTGTGCGTCCTCCATGTTTGATAAATGAGACCCTGATCTCGAGGCTTAAGTCTGGACCAGATTCAGAGCACCAGGATGATGGTCTCAGAGACCGTTTAGGATCAGAAACAAACTACCGGCCAAAAGTTTTAGAACGCCCCAATTCTTCCAGTTATTTCCTGCACTTTAAGTCATTCAAGTCCAATGGATAGCTAGAAATGGTACAAAGTGAAGTGGTGAACCGCCAGAGGTTAAACAACGGTGGGGTACTCAAAACTGAACATGTACATTTCAGAATGATCCAAAAGCCTTTTTCAGGGAACACGGCTGTTCGGCAGCAATGGAGGTTGATCCGGCCCTGAAAGCTGGTGCTGCTAGTTCCCCCCCCCCCTGTCTGCATTAAACCGTGCTGGAACATACTGTGGTACCACTCCCTCGTCAGCATCAGCTGGACAGTACTGTACTGCAGAAAGAGTGCTGCTGCAAACATGGTGAGAAAAAGGCCATTAACAGTGGAAGAGACCATCAGAACACTTAAATGTAGGCCTTTCCTACAGAGAAAGCCAAGGTGTCGGTGAGCACAGCTTCCTTCACCAGCAAACAGCACTCTGGGACAAACGCTGACAGGAAGAGGTCTGGCAGACCCAACGCCACGACCGCATCAGAGGACAGGTTCCTGAGAGGCTACAGCTGACCGGCGGCTCACAGGACAACAGCTTCAAGCACAGCTTAGTAGTCGTAGTGAGTAAGTCTCGGTTTCTTCTGTGAGGAGGAGACTTTTCCAACTCTGAACAGCTTTAATAACCTGACATTCCCTCCCATCTGACGGCCAATCAAAACAACGGAAGACTCGCTATTCGTCCTGGAACAAAGTGCATCGCTGGCTTTTCCCGCTGTCGCCTCCCGTGAGTCAGGTTATCCAAGCGATAGCAGAGAGTTTTGCTGATGGCAGTCGTTTGTTGCCTCCCGTGTCGAGTCCATAATGTCTACCATCAGAACGCCATCCATCTACCCTGAGGGTCACATCGGCCTAACTTCACCCTAACATCTAACACATCCGTCTAACATCTAAGACTTTCATTAATCTTCTTTAATCTAGATTCAATCCCATGAAAATCTGGGATCTTTGAAGCTAAATGACGCATCGATACCGACCCGTGTCTCTGTCTCCAGAGAGGAGACGTGAAAGGCTGAAACCCGCTCTTTCAGGGCCACCATGCTGTTCTTCGGTTAGGGTCAGTTTCCTTGGGTTTCCTGCTTCAACACATCTGAGTCAGTGGTTGAATCACCTCTTCTACAGGTCACTGAGCTCGTCCCTGAGGACCCGGACAGGACCCCGCTGCTTTTTAAAGCAAAGTAATAAAACAAGAAGAAACACAAAGGGCGGTACCGTTTCAGGGTTCTGCAGTTCTGAGACCAGTTTCCTGTGGTGGAGCACAGACAGACTCACCTCCATCACCATTATGTCCTTGGAGCTTTGTTTCTGGACTTTGGGGTGCTGGACCTTGACGGCTACTGTCCTCCCATCATGCAGCACTGCTCTGTGAACCTGAGCTAAAGACGCTGCACCCTGAGGTTCCTCCTCAAATGAGACAAATATCTCTGAAAGCTGCAGGACACATAAAACAAGACAAGGAGGACGCATTAGTCCTCAGAAACAGGAGCATCAGACTATGGCAGCTTTTATTAATCAGACTTTAGATCAGGGGTGTCAAACTCAAACTCACACGGGGCCGAAATGAAACTCTGGGACGGAGTCGAGGGCCAAACTTCATATTTTTTTTTAAAAAGTGACGGCAAATGTGCACATTTTCTTTATCAACATTTATGCAATTTTGAACCTTTAAATTTGTAAACAAACATATTTCTGCATTAACACTGAATGTGGAATAACCAAATTACACACGAGCAAGTCAGTTTTAAATAAAAGGCATCAGTGGTATTCATTACTTGTGGTATAGTCAGCATTTTATAAATCTATTCAGGATTTATGTTTTCTTGTTTATTCATTTTTCTTATTTTTTATTCTCCTTTTTCTCCTGTAATACGTGTCATCGCTGCTGTGACGTCTAGCTTTCCCCACTGAGGAACAATAAAGGGATTTTCTATTCTATTCATCTATCTGCAGCCTTTCCACTTCCTGTTTCCTGTAGGTTAAATCTTTTCTCACGGGCCAACAACAAAATAAAATATCATTTTATCTTAAATGAAAATGCAACATCTCACCTGTTAACTTTCATGTTTTGGAGCAGAAAAAGAGCATAAAACCAACATATTTAAAGCTCAGTTTGCTCCACTGGTTTACTGTGATGCTCACCTGTTCCAGCCAGATACCTGCATCATGGGGTTGATCTGAGCTGAGGAGGAGACTCCTGTTGTTTTGTTCATCTTCATCATAATAATGTCAGCGCTTTGGGCTTCCTGACAGGGTTGCGGAAGGCGCTTTGTAAATAAAGCTTTGATTGATTGATTGACAACATTAGATGGCAACAGGTGCTCACATAGGTTTGTGCTGATGAACATGTCTGAGCAGCTTGACCACGTTGTTGTGTGTCGGGGAGGAAACACAACCACAGAGTCGTGCTGGTTTGAGCGTGTCGCTGCTCGCTGGAGTTATATCAGCTCTGTCTGGACGTTAGTTGGAAAACTTTCTCTTTCAGTCGTGAACACATTACTGAGCGGCTAGAATCTCCGTTTCTGGGCGTCAACGTCAGAAAACAGCTGAGTGAACTCGGCGCTGAGTGAGAGGAGTGTAGTTTGTCCGAGACAGCGGAGCTGCAGACACCGGCAGCAGGCGCTGAAAAGAACACAAAGGAGGGGGCGCGTCGGCTCTGCGCTGACGCCGCAAAGCATCATGGGAGTTGAAGTCTTTGCGGTAAAATTGGCCAGCGGGCCAGTTTTAATATATTTTTGATATTTATCTCGCGGGCCACATAAAAATGCTCCGCGGGCCTTGTGTCTGACATATGTGCTCTAGATGAAAGAAAATAATAGATGATTATTTTCACATCAGCCTTCACCTGCTTTAGGAGAAGCTGACGAGGGTTTGTTCTGAGTCTGGTGAGCTTACACAGCAAATGAAGGTGATTTTACCAGTAATGATGAGTCTAGGTTGCACAAGTAAGGGTGTCCGACAGGAGGGGTCAGAGGTCAAGCCCGCCACATTGTATTGTCAGCTATGGCCTTGAGATTTAACACCAAGCTGGCCCGTTGGCTTGGCTTGCGACAAACATGATCCCGGTCCAATTTTCCTGAAGAAGTGTTTAATCTGCAGAGATGTTTGGATTTCATCTTCAGGAGCTGGACAATCGCCGAGTGGAGACATGTCAGCATCATCGACATAAAAATGTGGGCACAGCCCACCCACCGCTCCGCCGAGGGGAGAGCTGAAGCCAAAAATGGGAAAAGAGGCTGAGCTGAGGATGGGGCTGTTCTGTTGGAACAAATGAAACCAATTTAGCTACTAGCTAACTGAACTAGCCAAAGAAGCTAAGAATGGCACCAGGGACCACGGGGTAGTCCACCCGCACGGCCGATCGGCTTCAGTGCGAGGCTGTAGTCGTGCTGGTAACCTGTGGAGATCTAATACTGACTGGGACTGTTAAATGACAGCCCTGGCCTTTTGGATCAGCTCAATCTCCACGGTTGGAGATCGGTGGGACATTAGCTACATGCTAACCCAAAACTAACCACGTTTTCCTGGGAGTTTGTAGCAAGAAAAATGCAGCAGAATGAGTCCAACGACAAGGCACCTCCGGCCTGCTCAGTAATGAAATCATAATTAGGCGAGCGGACCGAGAATTTTGGGCTTCGCTGGTCCACTGCGGTCAAAAATCCACGGCGACACACACAGCTCTGGGACTCGGCTCCCGGTTTCGCTTGGTGCTCCCGACCGGAGACGAGAACGGCGGACTCGCGGATCTGTCACCGCTGCGGACCAGCAAAGACCGATCCTCGGTCAGATCCCCCGCGGCCACTCCAACACCTTATGTTTCAACCAATTATAATCCATCTCAGACCAAGCAGTGTTATGGCAACCAACTAGAATTTCCTCCATTTAACCAGCTAAACATTAGCAACAAAATGTGGTTGAGCGACTCAAAAGTAAAGCAGCATCAACTAAAACAGCTGCAGTGTTTCTGTGATCTCCCTCAGAAATCCACAAAGGACCAGCATGACTACAGCCTGGTATCGGAGCGGTCCGCACGTCGGCTGCCCCGGGAAACGGGAACAGCCAGCCGCCCGGGCAGGAGACGGAGGACGGGCACTCACGTTTCTTATCCAGCAGCAGCCCCCCTAACAAGTCTGACCAAGCAGTTATTGACACAGCATCTCCTCCCATTCAACCAGCTAAATAAAGAACACAAATATAGTTTTACTTACGGATAAAAAGAAACTGCCTGGATGATCTGTTAGTGCGGCCGGTAAACACAGCTACCCCTCTGTGACCAATAACGCCATAGTTACCATTCAAACACAAACAAGCAGACAAAACTAACGTTCAGAGATGAAATGGACAAACATCTGTTAGCGTGAGAACGAGGCCGTTCCCCGGAGCCAGCGCTGAAGTCACGAGGCTCCGATGCTCATTAATTATTCAGAATTTTACGAATTTCATTCAACTTAAACAGAAAAGCTACAAAACCCCTCAGAGTTGTCGTGAGTGTGAACTAGATCTATTAAACCTAGAATGGCTTTGGAACCAGGCTGTAAACACGCTTATTTCTGCTGTGAAACATGGGAGCCAATGAGGATCTGCTCTCTTCTGGTGCGCGCCCCTAGTGGATGAGTGTGGAACTGCAGTTTTAGCCACTTCCTTCTAGGCTTAATAAATGTCCCCTGGGTCAGCCCCTAGGGCCCCTGGGTCAGCCCCTAGGGCCCCTGGGTCAGCCCCTAGGGCCCCTGGGTCTGCAGCTGTGCACTACTGTGTAATTCCCACGGGGAGGCGGGCTTTCATCAAATCCAAGCATCTCATTTCAGGATTGAAGTTATGGATCAGAAGATAACTTGTTCCATATAAAAACAGTGCCAGCGGGTGCTTCTCCCATCACTACATCATTCATTTATCCCTAGCCCAAAGTCTGGATTTTCCCTCCCATGGTCCCACCAACCTCCCTGATCCAGTTACTCTGACGCCTTGCTGATGAACGCTGGGAGAAGATGCCGTGGACTCTGAGCTCCTGCGAGACTCCAGCCCACCCACACATCTTTCTTTGCCCTGAGAGCATCGCCGGTCCCTCTTTAGCTTCCCCTCATCTCTGTGGACACACGCAGTAATTAGTGTGTGGGTTTGAAGGTTAAACAGGCTTCCCAGGAGACCTTCAGTTATTAGAGAAGACTTATTGTTTGCTTGAGAACCCGAGTGGCCCCAGGGCCGCCCGGCAACACAAACACAAGGCAGAGCTCAGAATGGATCCAGCAGCGACTGGCAGACCTCTGGGGCGCAGAAAACACCACAACACCCTCAGAACACATTTTTACCATTTCAGGTGCTTTTAATATTTGGATTTATTGAAATTTAGGACAAAAATCTGGTCTGATTAAACTTCAGCGATTTTCTTACTCGGCTGAACTTTAGAGAACCGACACGACCGTGAGGGAGGCGGACCACGTTCTACCAACACCAGCCGCGGTTCTCCACTGAGCTGATGGGACTCAGGATAAGATGCTTCATGAGCTAACTACACTTTAGGATGAACTGTGATGAGAAGTAAACACGTTCAATCCTGAACTGGAGAAAACGGGAAGAACTCCTTGGTCCATAAGGAGAGCTGCTCTTCCTCATCGATGGGAGTCACCTGAGGTGGTACTGATGTATAAATCGTCCAACCTGATCAAATGCTTCATCCATTAAATAAATGAGATACAAACAGCTTCCAATAAGAGTTCTCCACGATTCGATTCGACTTCGATTATGGGAGCGTCGATGCTTCCATTATTAACAATTTTAATGCTTTTTTCATTCGAGATCGTCTTTATCTACATTTGTAAATAAAGAACCATCAATGGCATCAGTTCCTCTAAAGCGACTCTCTGTGAGTGAACACATTTTTAACATTTAACTTTTTCAGAGACAAATCCTGATTTTATGATATTTGCACTTTGACCAACTTCACTCGGATCAGGGAAAGCTTTACTGACACTAGTGACCCCTCCATTGTCGGGAACCTCTGAAAACAGGCAAGCCCTGGATTTAATGAGGTCAATAGGAAGCCTTCCTCCAGCCATGGTCCATCTGAGGAGCATCAGGCCTTGGCGAGTACCTCAGCTGGGTTTGGGCTGCATGAAGACACAAGTTAGCCTGAAGAGCAACCTGATGGCTTGATTATCACCTGTAGGTCGCTGTGGTCGGCTGAACACATAAACACATACACAGACCCACATCCTTCATAGCCCCACCAGGCTGTCCCCCGATAGAAACGTCCCTGCTGCTTGCAGA